GGACGACTGATCCGTGTTAAGGACAGAATGAATGGGGCCATGTATCGTGAGATTTTGAGCCAAAACCTCCTTCCATCAGTGAGAACTTTGAAGATGAAACGAGGCTGGGTCTTCCAACATGACAATGATCCAAAACACACCGCCCGGGCAACAAAGGAGTGGCTCCGTAAGAAGCATTTGAAAGTCCTGGAGTGGCCTAGCCAGTCTCCAGACCTCAACCCCATAGAAAATCTGTGGCGGGAGTTGAAAGTCCGTGTTGCTCGGCGACAGCCCCAAAACATCACTGCTCTCGAGAAGATCTGCATGGAGGAATGGGCCAAAATACCAGCTACTGTGTGTGCAAACCTGGTAAAGACCTATAGTAAACGTTTGACCTCTGTTATTGCCAACAAAGGTTATGTTACAAAGTATTGAGTTGTATTTTTGTTATTGACCAAATACTTATTTTCCACCCTGATTTACGAATAAATTCTTTACAAATCCTACCATGTGGATTCATGGATTTTTTTTTTCACATTCTGTCTCTCACAGTTGAAGTGTACCTCTGGTGCAAATTACTGACCTCTGTCATCATTTTAGGTGGGGGAACTTGCACAATCGGTGGCTGACTAAATACTTTTTTGCCCCACTGTACCTGTCTTAAATATATGACCTGAATAAATGGACAAACATGGTAAGCATAACCAAAGCAACATAAAGAAACATAATTTACCAGACATTTGCCTGTAAACAGAAGAAAATTCAAATGACCTGATGGTCAGTAGTGTTTGCTTTAAAAAACATGCATGGATGTGATGAATGTAACTACTGCTACCACAAACAAACCCGGGAGAGTGTGTTAAGCAAAGTTACACCAGCAATGTCTAAATTAAAGTATTATGGCTGACTGTAAGTGGTAAATGAGTTCATGCCAAACCACTTTGTCACAGGCAGTCACCATGTGATGGGCAGAGAATGTCCTTCGCTCAAACACTAAGAAATGTCTGTGTGTTAACACAGTTTCGTGCTTCTTTAAAACCCCGTGCTCTGGCACAAACAGCTAGGTTTTCTTTTTCAATCTTTTCAGCGTGAGCACTGCATCAGTGAAGAGGCATCACCTGGTTTTCCAAAGTGTCCAAAGATATTTTGCAGGACATCATACTGGATGTCCATCATAATGGACCGAGGCGTCTGTGTCTCGTCTCTTCTTGGGTTTGTTTCTCCCACAGATTAACCCTGTGATAAGACTCCTTCATGAACACAGCTATGTCATTAAGTAAATTAAAGAGTGATCCACTTTCAACAACACTTTGTGTTGTGTCAGCAAGCACAAGATTAAGTTTGTCTGCATAGCACAACAGAGGTGTGGCGTGTACTGGCCTCTGGTGGTGGTGAGGCCGGTCTGGTGAGCACGGCGATCTCAAGCGTGGCGCACGCCTCGCTCGCCAGTTCCACTCGAGCAGGCTCCCCTGGCACGGGGACCTCCAGCTCCTTGCGTGGCCCATCCGTCACCGCCGTCGCTCCCCGCTGGAGCAGCCCATCGCGCGACTCCTCCCTCGCTACTACTTCCTCCGTCGCTACTACTCCCTCCGTTGCTACTACTCCCTCCGCCGCCACTCCCGGTTCGAGCAGCCCCTCACACAGCTCCTCCTCCTCCTCCTCCTCCAGCCGGCGCAGACCCTCGCGCGCCTCGTCTGCCGCCTCCTCCACCGCTTCACTGTCCTCGGGACACACCTGTGGGGGTGGCGCCCAGGCCCAGAGCAGCGCCGCCAGCTCCCCAATCCTTTCCAGGTGGCGCTCGGACTGGTCCTGCAGCTCTTCCTGCTGGCGACGCACCTCCGCCGCCTGCTCCCGCTGGTTGGCCGCCAGTTCGGCCACCATTTGGGCCAGCTCCTCCATTCCCTGGCTCCGATACGGACCCGCCGTGCTGTCTCCTGGGTTTCGGCACCAATGTGGCGAGAATAAGGCACGGTGGGACCACGGAGTATCATTCGGAGCCATCTTTATTTACATCTCACCACAACAATCACCAAACCCCTGAGTCCCCGTGTTTTTAACTAGGCGGGCGTGATTAAGGACGCCGTGCAGGTGCGTCCGCCCTCCCTGCATGGCACCGCAGACCACGCCCCACCACAGCAAGTTTACAAAGTGCTGCCTGTGGATGCATCGCACCTTGCTATGGAGACAAGCCTCTCCTGCACGGCCTCAGTAACATACCTGATGATTACTGAACACGGATCATAACCTGTGATGTTTTGGGTTGTGTCTGGCTGAACAGAGAACCTGCCAGCTTTCTGGACGTCACTGTTGATGCTCTCTTGAATGAGATGGCCGAGTGCATCAGTCACTGAGTTGACAGTCATTGTGGAAAGTAGGGTGATGAGACACCTTCTACCTCTTCATCCACTGGACTCATGCAACTTCTTGCTTTTCTCATTGCAGTCATTCAAATGTTCTCCAAGGCACTTATCATACTTGCCTAATAACACAATCAGAACGTTACCATGATCGATGGTGTTCTCACCCCACGTGTGCAGCCTCGTTCTCCACATGCCCATAGCTGAGTCCCCTCTTCCCAAGTACTTGGACCACATCCACTATACGCTCCAAAACTCGCCGTCTCGAGTCACTCGTGCTCTGTGAGCTGACAACTGACTGCCAGCAAACAAGCTGCTGATGTTACACTTTGAGCACCTTAAGAAAGAAGCTTCAGCGCAGGTCTGGTGTGTAGTGCTCTTTTCATGTCAGCCCGCCCTGCAAATCCCCGACGCACAAAGCAGAAGAATAAACGTCAATAAAAAGTCAGCACAATGAAAATAAACTTGGTTTATAACTGACCCGGATAGACTGCAGGTCATAACTTCTGACCTGAAGTTCCTCCGCCCCTGGAACCGCCCCGGGTCTCTCCTCCTCCTGCCTCCCCTTTCTCTCATCCACCTGCTGGCCTCCACCACTTGCTAATGTTACTGAATCTGTGGAAGCTCCACCACAGACACCACCAAACAGTTGAGTTATCTTTACATATTTGGCAGCGTCTGCCTGAAGGGCTTGTTTCCTTTTGGCACTCATTTTTTTCTGCACCTTCTTTCTGTTTTTTCTTCTCCGTTTTCTTTGGTTTGTCTCTGATGAGATTGCTTTCAGAGCCGTTGCCCAAACGAGAGGGGGGGGTGCATCCGACCTCCTCGGCTGTAATTGGTCCAGCTCAGAGTCGATCATGAACAACTGGCCAATCCACCGCCTTTCATCGTTTATGCCGTTACAAAAACGCGGCCTGTCCAGCTGTGCACTCCAACACACTCCTACTGCCTCTGCAAGTTCAGTTATCAGTTACCACAATAATTAAAAACAGTTCAAGTTGGACTGTTTGTTAAAAGTAACTATAATGTTTTAATACATTAATGTTATCGGTTCAGTTTTTCCATCTGCATCCAGGTCGCTGAATGAAAGATTTTAACCTCCTGAGTAAGTCAGTGAATCATTAAGACAGTTTTTGAGATTCTTCACTCAGTGTGTTTAAAATCTTTCTTGGTCTCACATTATAATTTCTTTATTTTGACTTTTTTTTATTTTCTTTCTAAATTATCAGCTTTTTTCCAAACGTGTTAAATTGTTTTGTTAATTTAAACATGTTGCTAACACCACTGCAGCTTTTTGTTACTTCCACACGCAGCTTCCTCCTGTCTTCCACAATTCTCTTTTTGTACTTCCAGTGATTCACCACAGGATGGCGCTCCATCTCTTTGCTTCTCTCTTTCAAACCGAGGCAGACGTTTTTATTTGTGTGAGAAGTTGTCAGATTTATAGTAAACAGGAAATACTTTGTTGCCATGGATTCAGTGAGTCAAACTGGTGCAGCGGTGTGACGTATACCTTTGAGTGTGATACAGCCTGACACTGTATCACTGTCTGAAAAAGTATCTTAATCCTTGATTAAGGTTGTTATTTATGAAAACAGGCTCATCTTTTAAAATGTAAGGCTCGCCTATCATCGGCTCTTCTATTCAGGTCTTTAAGTTAGAAATTCCAGTTAGTCGGATGTTTTTGAAGCTGTCCTTGGTTATATGTGGACAACTCTGACATTAACTGGCCTGTTCCTCCAGCTGGAGTCTTTCCTGGGTTCATGTTGTGTTTTGTCTAATGCCATATTCATGCAGCCTTGCTGGAAGTCAGTTATGTACGTCAGAAAGCCCAGATTACATCTGATTACAAACACTGGGAACACAAATCTTAAACACTTGTTTGGTTTAAATAAATGTGTAGTTTGAATATTTCAGCTAAATCTTCTGCTTTGTTATGTTATGAAATTAAATTTAGGAAAAATTAATATAACTTCTATTAAATGTCTTGTCTTAATGTTGGTTTAAAATGGAGCACTGTAACAAAAAATAATTTCCCCCAGGGATCAATAAAGTATTCTGATTCTGATTCTGATTAAAATGGCACATACTCTATCCACTTACCTCCATCCCTCCATCCACAGACAACAATAAGAATTTATGGTTATGGTTGGTAATGCAGTGTGTTGTTACAGCCACAAGAGGGCAGCAACCTTAAGGTTTTATCTTTAGCAGCAACATTTATATAGATGATATTTTATTAAAGGTAAATGTTATTCATGTTATATTGACGGTATTGTAAAAAGCAGGCAGAATTATAAAGAATAATAAATTAAATCTAACAAAAAACTAGACGTGGAAAATGCAAAGATAAACAAGAATCCTGCAGTTTGAGGCAGTGTGAGGTTTTGACCAGCAGGGGGCAGCAGAGTAAAAGGCAGGAGGAGCTGCTGTTAAACAAAGGTTGGCTCAAATCATGAAATAGTGTTGCATGCGGTGGGTTGTGTATTTTATAGTGATATCCGGTACACAGTGAGTGTTTCTGTAGCACTTTGAAGTCCTCAGCGTATCCCAGAGTATCTGCACCTGTGTGTTTTCCTCACCTGTGTCCACTTGCCTTAATTAGACCCGTGCTTATTTATGGTGCTGCCTCCACTTTGTTTCTTGGCGTGTCTGTGAGCCTCTTCTGTGGTCTTTGTGTGTCATGGATTTAGTAAACAGGTTTGCTGTTTTTATTCTGGGTCTTCTCTAAGATGCTGTTAAAAAGCTCACCACCCTCCAAAACACCTTCACAGGTAGGTCTTCTGGGCCAGTGGCTTTTCCCCACCTCTCACTCGATCCTCTGCGCTTCCTGATTTTCTGTCATCCTCTCATTTCTACATTCATCACATCCCCAGAGTACTCCTTCTATCTTCACACTCCTTTCACTTGTTAGCACATTATCATCTCCATCCTTAATCACTTCTGTCCTTTCCTGCTTAGTCGATCATTACAAGTCATTTTCTCCTCCTTTGGTATCAGCCTGAAATACAGCTTACTGGGCTTTTTGCTTTGTCACCTCTTTGTCGTACACTTAAGCTCCCAGTACTTCCACTTTCTTCAGCTTCCTGAATATCCCACTTTTTTTTGCTGACCCAAATACCTTCCTGCACTGCCTCATTCCACCACCAAGTCTCCTTGTATTTCCCGATACACCAAACACTTTCTTGGCCGTTTCCTCAGCACTTCCAGTCATCTGCTAAGTCCTTCCTACCACCCAGAGCCTGTCTCAGCTCCTCCCAAACTGTGTGCGGCATTCTTGGCTCTGCATTCACTCACTTCCTCCCACAGACTTCCATCTGATGCCCCCTAGCTGCATTCTCGTTAAATCTAACACTCTTGGCCATCATCCAGTGTTCCTCCCTCCCTCCTCTTGAAGTACAGGTTCACCAACAACCTTTTCACCTGCTCATCACCTGTGTCCCCTTCCCTGACACGTCCACTGAAGTCTGCTTCAAAAAGCTGGTTTAAATGTACCTCTGAGGACATCAAATACAGCAACAGGCTGTAATGAAGCAATAAACAGCCGATGCAGCTGTTCCTCGTGGCATCTTTAACAGCTAAACATCTGGCGCGCCTGTTGCCTCAGTTTCTGTGTTTCTGCTTCTTTCACCTCATTTTTGATGGGAGGGTCTAAGATATGAGGAGAGAAATAAAGGATGTACACCCGGGAAATGAGACCTGGAGATGGTTGAAGCACATTCTTTCATTTTGTGAATTTAAAAATAAATAAATAAATAGTTTCTTCATAGGTCTTGACCATGGAGCCCATAATCTGTTCTTTATTTCAGTTTCATAGATGTTATTTTGATGTTGTCTTTCCCAGAATTAATTTAGATGACATCAAAACAGAGAAAATAAAAAATCACATCAAAGTAAAATGAATAAATATAATAACAGTATATTTGCTGTGCTAAATTCTTGTTTCTCATTTTAGTGGCTTTGTTTATAATTTTTCAAAATAGTTGTTTAAATATGTTTTGTTTTTGTTTAAAATTCCTTCTCTTAGGTTAGTTTTCCTTTAAAATTTTATTTTATTCTTTAATGATATTGTAATTGTTTTTATTTTATCAAACTTGATTCATTTAATACATTTTCTATTAGCAGATTACTTTTTTTTTTTTTTAGTCTTTTAATCTAGTTTTAAATCTTTCTATTACATGTCGTGTTTTGCTTTTGCATTCGGAGCTCGTGATCGTTTTCTTCGTTCTGTTGTTTGTTTGTTTATTCAATCCAGGTTTTCTTTCGATAAACATTGTTTTTCTTGTTTGTTTTCATGACTTCATCACGGGATAAGAGCGGGTTTCCCGGAACTTTGTTCCTTTACATCACTTACAGTCACGACCACCCTCTTACCATTCACAAAAAGTACACGTCCGCTGAGTAAAATAGTTCCCATATTTTGCACATCTTCTTGCTGAATTTAAAGTAAAACTAATACTACAATCAAGCTTTTATGGCAGAAATGCACTAAAGGTTATTTTCTAAAGGGTCAGCAGCACATCGATAGGTCCCGTTTGTTTACTACGTAGTTCGCATTTGGCGGGAAGATTGTAGTGCCGGCGGATGAAGATATAAAAGCCGGAGTATTTAATGTGTGTGAAGCAGCTGATGGCTGAGTTTCACGCTGAGACGGCAGAGCAGCTGGGCGACACTGAGGGACCGTTATAGCGTCTGTTCTCGAGAAACTGAGGATTATTTAAGACTGACAGGCTCTGCTGGACAAAGCCCGCTATAAGTTTACTCGTTACTCGCTTGAACATTTGGACCTTTTTCACGTTTTCACCTTAACTGTTGGAGAAAAACGGTAAGTTTATGTCTGAAGCTTTCTGGATGCTTTTCTTTGCTGTCGTTTAACTTTTCGCTTAGTCAGTTTAAAATGTGTGCAGTCAGTTTAAAATGTGTGCCGAATTTATCGCTGATGTTCGTTCTTCGCATTTTGACCGTTTTTCCTTTGATGCGTGACTCTGAATAAATGATTCAATGTTATTAAACTAGCGTCGCGCATTTTGACAGCTGAGTTTCGCATATCTGCAGAAGTTCTCGCCTGTCTGGAGACTTTACTCATACTGAAGCTCTGTGTTTAACTCTGCTCTGCAACCTTTACTTATGTCTTTTAACCGCATATTCTGTTCTTATTTTTTGATAAAATTACTACTTTTAAAACTGTTACGCATGTTAAATCCCGAGTTTTAATACATTTGAGTGTATCTGCACTGCAGATGTGTGTAGTGCTGTTTACTGATGAAGGATCTTTGCTTTCTATTATGTAAACTCGGGCTTTAATCCAAAGAAAGCTAAACTAGCTGTTTTTTGAATGGAGTCTGGCATGCTTAACTGATTCTCCTGCACTGTTATATCAGATGATTTTTGATGTTGTGGTCATGTGCTTGGCTCAGGCTGACCTCCTGTTGTGTTTCTCAGGCCGCCGTCATGCCGCCGGTGTTGAACAGCACAAACTACGATTATGACTACGACGTGGTCCAGCCCTACTTCTTCCTGAATGGTGAAGAGGAAGACTTCTACCCTCCTCCACGCAGCCAGCTCCTGCCGGCTCCCAGCGAAGACATCTGGAAGAAGTTCGAGCTGCTGCCTACACCTCCCTTGTCCCCCAGCCGGAGACCCTCCCTGTCTGCCGCCGACCACTTGGAGGCGGTGTCTGACCTCTTGGACGATGACCACAGCTCCTCTGCAGCATTTCTGCAGTCCTTCATCATCCAGGATTGCATGTGGAGCAGCAGCTTCGCCGCCGCCACAGAGCTGGAGAAGGTGGTGTCAGAGAGGCTGGCCTCGCTGCGGGCCCGCCGGGACTCCTGCAACACTAAGACCATCACAGACAGAACAGCTGACGAGCAGGTGGGCGGGTCTCAGGTGAGCGCTGGGTACCTGCAGGACTTCCACACCTCGGTGACAGACTGCATTGACCCCTCTGTGGTGTTCCTGGGTGAGAAGCAGATGGATGATGGTGTGGCGATGGAGGTGGGGTCTGAGCTGAGACTGGACTCGCCACCACCCAGCAGCAGTGACAGCGAATCAGGTGAGTTTTATTTTGAAAAGCCAGCTCTTTAATCCTGAGTATCAGAGTCACTGAACTCTGAATTCTGCTTTTCTCCGACCTTTCCTTCACTTCTCATTTACCCTCTGAGACCAGTGGTTAGAAACAAAGAAGCATCAGGTAGGATCCACTTGCATTTTGGGAAATGTAGTAACCCAGTGATTTTCAGAGCATCTCAAAATACTGCATCTATTGATATCCAACACTACTGTGGTGTGGCCATCCTTTAATTACAGCGTCTGGGAACAGCCTATCACCAAGCAGGCAAATATCCTGCAGGCTGTGTGAGGATTTTCATAACAGAAGTAGAAACGACAGACTTTTCCTAAAGTAGTGAAATTATTTTTAATTTATTAGACTTACAAATATTAGATGCTGCAAACATTGTGACATCCTGCACGCGCGCACACACACACACACACACAGGTCAGATCTCTGAGTCAGGGAGCCTAAACAAGGCGGGGCTCAACAGGCTCAGGTGCGTTGGGGTCCAATCAGCTGACATAAGTGAACTCCTTAAAATCAGTAGCTGGTTTTCTTCTTGCGGTCAGTACTTTTACATCACAGGAAGTGCAGAGGACAGTCAAATGATGTGGGGGCTCTCAGTGAAGCCGTGCCTGTCATCCCAGATCAGACCAGCTGTTCAGAAAGCTTCACCACAGGGCTCTTTCTGTTCCTCATACGTCACCATTATTTTGACGCTATAGTTACTGTGGATAGTAGTACACTAAAACGTAACCTTGGTCTGAATTAAGCTGTGGATTAAAATATCCACCAGTACTGTCAGTGTCAGCAGACATCTGAGAAATGTTTTCATTGGCCGGTAAATGTCTGGAAAATATGGAAAATATGGAAGCGAGGAGTTCAAGGAGGGCACGTTTTCTGTCTCACTCTGCTGCTTTCACTCGTTTTCTGTCCCTGTTCAGTCACTCGTCCATCAGCAGGACGGTGGTTTTGGCTCAGACCGCGATCACTTTTATTTACACCAGAATGTTTTTCCTTGTTTTTTCTCAGAAGAGGAAGATGATGAAGAGGAAGAGGAAGAGATCGATGTGGTGACAGTGGACAGGAGAAAGTCATCTCGACGGTCCCACACCTCCCCTCTGGTCCTGAAACGCTCTCATGTCAACATCCACCAACACAACTACGCTGCCCAGCAACCCCCTGAGAAACGTGTGAAGGCGGAGAGCAGCAGCGCGGCACCGAGGCAGAGCGGCGGGCGCCGGTGCTGGAGCCCGAAATCGGAGGGCGAGGACAACGACAAGCGCAGGACTCACAACGTGCTGGAGAGGCAGCGGAGAAACGAGCTGAAGATGAGCTTCATGGTTCTGAGGGACGAGGTCCCAGCGGTGGCCAACAATGAAAAAGCGGCGAAGGTGGTGATCCTGAAGAAGGCGGCGGAGTTCATCATGGAGGTCAGAGAGCAGGAGAGGAAGCTGTTGGCAAAGAAAGATGAACTGAGGAAGAGGAGCAGAGAGCTGAAGCAGAGGCTGCAGCAGCTCAGGACTTCACATTAACATCTGCTCAGTCGTTCTAGTTTCTTCACTTCAGGTTTTAAAGCTAAAATAATGACCGACGTCACCTGAATGCAGCACGCTGCCCGTGGGGCTCGCTGCTCGTCTGTAATCAGGTTTTCTGTTTTTTATTTATTTTTGTTTTTATTGACTATTTTAATTTAAAGTAGTTTTTCAGACATTCCAGTTTATGAGGCGACAATGTGAATAAATATGTGTCATAACTTTAATTTACAGCTGATGATGAACAATAATTTAATTCACTATTTAATCCGTTCACTCCCTAAAGCTTTTGTATTTGTGATTGTGTATTTTTAATTTCAGAGTTCATTTTTATATATATATATTGTTTTTGTTCAAAAGCTTTTTTTGCACTAAAAGTACATCAGAAGTGTTTTCATCCCTTCAGAATAAAAGCCCTTCACATGTTGGAGCTTCTCTTGATCTCAAAGTGTCTGCTTTGTTTCTGCAAACCTCCCTGTTTGTTTGTAAGTCCCAGAATTCATGTGGTGGTGTGAAACGTGCCTCAGGCAGCCGCTGGATCCCCCTAGAAGGATCAGCTTAAACCCACAGTGACGTTACCCCACAGTCACTGATAAACTTCCAAGTTTCAGTGGAAGTGTTTTCAGCTTCTTGTAACATCTGAGGGTGGAATCGCCAAGTTGGTTCCTTAGAGACAAATTCAGCCTCTTGAAAATGATCCAGCGCATATTCCTGTGGGTCATTTTCATGGCATTTCCTCTGTATTCTGGCCTGAGCTGTTTCTTTTCAGTCATTACTCAACATTTCGGCTGCGTCATCGGAGAACATCCGGCCCAGCGGAGCAGCGCGCTGAGGCTGTCGTGGTGCTGCGCGATTTCCACACTGAACACGGGGTGAAAGTTCAAACCAAATCAGCTGCTCTGCATTTACCAGCCGCATCACTTTAAGAGGGTCAAAGGTCAACCGGCATGGCTTTGACTGAACAGTATCTATATACACATAACTCCCTACTCTAGTAGTTAAATAATCTTTTGACTGAATAGCTGTCAAAGTTAATTTAACTCAGGACCACAGAACGTAACAATCAAACACACCCGAGTTAGTCACATAATTCAGTGTAAGTTCAGGCCAATCACGTTCACACAAAGCTGTCAAACATACAGCTGATCTCAGAAAGCAGCAGGCTGTACACTTACGTAATCAAATATATCCTGATCATGTGTCATACAGCCTGGACTCAGCAAAAAAACTATTGATTGAACACAGAGGTGGTAAATGTGTCCATATGCTGAGTCACGAATGTTCCCACCTGGAAGTGTTCGTTCTTCACTCCACAGAGAATTTACAGGGAACTGTAGGGAACGCAACACGATATGAAATTCAGTTTGTGACTTATGCTCAGATCAGTCAGGCAGGGTTTGTGTTCGGCTCGCTCGTCAGATCTGGTTTTAAAGGATTGAAGTTGTTACAATGAAACAAGCTGGAGGCGACAAACAAGCTTCACTGAAACAGGCTGGTGTCACAGTCATTTATTTTTACTGTTGAATGTGATATAAATGAGTGATGTAAGTAAAACAACAGCCTAAAATCTGAGGTTTCTGAGGCAGAACAGGATAAAGTGTGTTTTTGAAATATACGCTCAAAATGAATGAGACCAATAAAGCAAATGTTTTTTTAATCAATAATCAGAATCAGCATATTTAATCCCTGAGGAAATGATGTGGGTTACAGTTGCTCTGTATAAATAACAGAAACACAGACATTTAAGACATTTAAGTAATAGCACAATATATACAAATCGCTCAACAATAAAATAAAATTAGGATTAACAGGTGATTATAAATAAATATCAAGAAAGCTGACAGGATAATCGCAGAGTAGAAAGAGTGTGTGCAAAAGGGTGTAACTACTGCAGTGTTTGTGCTGTGTTAGAGGGAGATGGCGTTGGGCAGGAATGGTTTCCTGTGTCGTGGTGATATTTGGTCACCTGAGTTTCTCGCTGAACGAGCCAGCGTGTCATGGAGTGGGTGGGAGGTGTTATCCAACATTGTCTTTATGACACCACCTTGAGGGAGTCCAGCTCCATTCCCACAACACTACAGGCCTTACGGATCAGTTTATCGAGTCTGTTGGCATCTGCGACCCTCAGCCTGCTCCCCCAGCATGCAACAGCATAGAGGATCGCACTGGCCACAACAGACTCATAGAAAATCCTCAGCATTTTCTGGCAGATGTTGAAGGACCTCAGTCGCCTCAAAAAATAGAGACGACTCTGGCCCTTCCTGTAAAGTGCTGTGGTGTTTTTAGCCCAGTCCAGTTTATTGTCAATGTGTACTCCAAGGTATTTATAGTCCTCCACAATGTCAACACTGACCCCCTGGATTGAAACAGGGGTCAAGTGTTTCCTGGTCTTCCTGAAGTCCACGATCAGTTCCTTGGTCTTTGCCACGTTGAGCTGCAGATGATTCTGCTCACACCACGTGACAAAGGAGTCGACCACAGCCCGGTACTCTGTCTCATCATCCCTGCTGATGCATCCAACCACCGCAGAGTCATCAGAAAACTTCTGAAGATGGAGGTCTCTGTGCAGTGGCTGAAGTCTGTGGTGTAGAGGGTGAAGAGGAAGGGGGAGAGGCGGTCCCTTGTATCTCTGTGTTGCTGATTACCTTGTCAGACACATAACATTGAAGACGCATGTATTGTGGTCTTCCTGTCAGGTAATCAACGATCTAGGACCCCAGAGAAGCATCCACCTGCATCGCTGTTAGCTTATCACCCAGGAGGGTCGGCCTGATGCGGTTGAAAGCACTGGAAAAGTAAAAACCATGACCCTCACAGTGCTCGCTGGTCCAGGTGGGTGTAGACACGATTGAGCAGAGAGATGATGACGTCCTCACTTCCCAGACGGGGCTGGTAATCAAACTGAAGCAGATCCTGATGTGGCAACAGTGCTATATGGAGAGGGAGGGAGCGACAGTGGTGTGGCTCAGGCTGACAGGTGAGGTTGTGGGTGTGTGAGCATTCACTGAAAAACAAATTCAACTCGTCGGCTCTATCCTCACCTGAATCCAGTGGTGGTCTTCATGCCACTCAATAAAGGCACATGAGTCAAATTCAGCCTTCATATGGTTGGACTCATCAGCAGCAACGACGTGGGAGTTCACATCTCAGACAACCTCACCTGGACCACCAACACCACCTGCATCACCAAAAAGGCCCAGCAGCACCTCCACTTCCTGGGACACCTAAAGCAGCCAACCGTCCTCCCATCCTCACCATGTTCTACAGGAGCACCATGGAGAGCGTTCTGACCAGCTGCATCTCCGTGTGGTTCAGAAACTGCAATGTTGGTGATCTCAGCAAACTACAACGAATTGTTAAAGCAGCTGCCAAGATCACTGGAACATCTCTCCCTCTGCTGCAGGACATCTTCCACAACTGCTGCATCAGTAAGGCCTCCGGCGTCATGCTTGACCCCTCACACCCCTCACATGGACTCTGTTCCCTCTGGCAGACCCTACCGCAGCATCGGGGCCAGATCCTCCAGACTGCGGTTTAGCTTTTTCCCCCAAGCCATCAGACTCCTGAACTCACTGCCGCCCCCTCGCAAACATGGGTTCTCTGAAAAGACGTTCTGAATATGACTTTTGCAGGGAAAATAAAGGTATCTTTTGATATTCTTCTGACTTTTATTTCACTCATCTGTTTCTGATATTTAATCACTGATAAAGAGTCTGGGCGCCGGCCGTGAACTTTCCTTGTTGCGTCTAGAGTTCAGGCATGCAAGAAACAAAAGAAAAGAACCACTTTGATAACAGCATCAGGACAGGATCCTCTCTCATTCTTTCCATGAATAAAAAACTAATTTCTGAGTCGCAGTGACTCAGGCTGATTCACGGGAACAGTCCAGACTGCTGAGTCATGCTGAAAACCTGCAGATTGTCCAGGACGGTCAGCAGTGACTGAGGGGTGACGAGTTTCCGGTTTCTGCTGCTCCAGAGCTTTGTTTCCCACTTTTTCCACGTTTCTATTACCTCAGCGCTCATGTTTCTGATTAATTCTCAGTTTGAATTTGAAATCTGCATTAAGAATATTTTAGAAGAAGGCACAAACAAGCATCCGCTAAGGGACAAGGAGCTTTGAGAGATGGAAAGGACTTTGAAGACGTCTCAGCGACACTAAGACGATTCTTGTTCGTCCACACAGAGAGACATATGAGACTCTTTGTGAACCTCCAGGTGTCCAAACCACCGTGGACAGCTGAGTGTTGCTCTGAGGTTCCAAACAGAGAAGCCTGTGGACCCACAGCCTCTGAGTGACTGACTGTAAGGTGCCAGGAAGAAAATCCACATGAAGATAAAGAATGGGCTCTCGGGTGTCCACTGGGCTTTTAAATGCCTCCCACAGCAACCATAAATGAGTCCAGTGTGTCCTTGAATAAATCATGAGGTGTTTCATGGACTCCTAAATCTCCTCATAAAAACATATAGTGGGCTCTTAGGTCTGTGGTAGTCAAGCGTGCAGTGGGTAATCAGATGTCCCCATGCAGACTTGTTGGGATTGTCATGTTTCCATTTATGTCTTTTAAGGATCTTTCAGGAGGTGACAATAGACCCTCTGCTGTCAAACGAGCCATTTGAAAAGCACATACAGGGAATATCATGTGTCCACCTAAAGACATTAGAGGCTCCGAGGTACCCACACAGGCAAAATGCCAAGAGGAAGTGGGGACGTGTACTCAAGGGAATTTCTGCATATTCTTGTTTGTACAGGGCATCCAGGTGCTCTCATTTTCCTCTTGAGGGGAATTTGGGAACGAATAAACACTATAAAAGCTCCATAAAAGACTGAGACAAATTCCTGTGACCACTGAGGCGATGGCAGGACTCCCACCTGCTGCTCATAAATCAGGAGCTGCACTTTCCTTGCGATAAACACAGTTGGAGGTCTCCCTGAAAAGCAGAGAGACTCCTTTGGCGTATCTTTTCCTCTGAAAACACACAGTGTTGAAATACTCCTGCTGAGCAGCTTCATCCAGACTGTTTGACACCAAATGATGTTTTAATTTCTGCTGAGTTACAGTCGGGACAAAGCTGGAAGCTGTGAATCTCATCAGGCAGGCAGAAGGCACGGATCAGGTGGCAAATCTGCCCGACTGGTGTTTGTTCGCGCTCTCTGACAGGAAGCTCGCAGTCACATGATCTGAGCTCTCAGGGTGACAAACAGCAGATCAAAGAGAATTCACAAACCATCGGGGGTGTGGTACATGTTGCTGTTACTTTGGCCATGTTGTCAGCAGAGTGGGATCTAGTTTGTGGTGATTACATGTTGATACAAAAAGCCCCTTAAAAACATATTTGTGTGTAACTCTGTTGTTGTGTTAAAGTGCTGCACTGTACCAAAGACAAACACGTGAGCTCAGTGAACCTTCCTGCATGGATGCAGGTTCAGTGACTGCCGGTGCTGTTC